TTTCTGAACTACTGGATTGTAAGATTGTATCTTGGCCTGCACAATCTCCTGATTTTATCCCCTGTGACTTTTTCCTTTGGAGTTATGTGAAACATCTGTTATACAAAAACTCTTATATTTGGAAGGGAAGATCTGACAAGTGTAAGATCTGTTTCAGGAATATTCCATAGAGTCTTGAGAACATGAATTGATAAACCAATCTCTGTTCAGGAGTAAATGACAATTACTTCAAAGAACTACTGTAAAAACCACTACTACCAAACTTGATCATTTGTGAACATGAGTTTATTTGAGAATAAATGCTTGTTATGCTGTCCTTCATAACTACCCAAAAGATTGTCAGTCTCATTTTGGGTCACCCTGTGTAGTGTAAAACTCATAACTAAGGTGCCTTTATTCATTTGGGAAATTATTATTATAATTATGATTTAATATTTAAAGGAATTACAATTCATATAAATATCCTTATATCAGAACATGCATNATGAATGTTTCCTCAGAAAATACTGTACTGTACTTGTATGTATTATTTACTTGAGAATACAACAGAGAATAAACTGCCCAAATATCCTTAAACAAAGGAAAAGTACATCCTTTATGAAGGCATAGAGCCTTTACTACATGAAAATAAAAATTAATGAATACACTGTGTACAGTAATTTACCTTATAAGACAGACCTCAGAAAAATACTTTATGAGGCATAAAGCTGTCTATAATGAAAATTAATTAACTACGGATTTTTTTGCCCTGCCAGGGTGTGGCCGAGTTATCCAGACTGCTGGGTTATCGAGTGCCGAGTTTTCGAGACTCTACTGTACTATAGGCAGAACACACTAGAGTTGTAATCCCTTTATCATTAAGAGGCTTCATATTGAAAACATTGCATGCTGATCATTGGGAAATTGTGAAAATGAAACAAATGGCAAGAAGATATTGCTGGTGGCCACAGATGGATAAAGATATTGAAAGCATGGTTTCTAAGTGCAAAGCATGCCAATTAATCAGACCTAACCCAAAAAGACAATTATAAAATTGATCAAAATTGAAAGAAGCTTGGGAAAAGATATATGTTGATTATCCAGGACCATTTTGGAATGCTGTGTTGTTTATTTGTGTTGACATTTATTCTAAGTTCCCATATATCATAGAAATGAAATTTACCACTTCAGAAGTAACCATTAGGATTTCTTCAAAGGGTTAGATGTATAAAAACATCTAATCCTTTAAAGGAATCCCCAAGGTTATAGTGTCAGATAACAGAACTCAATTCACTTCGGAAATATTTAAAGAGTTTTGTAAACTTAATGATATAGAGCAACTAGTGACAGTCCTATTTCATCCAATGGAGAAGCAGAGAGATATGACAGAATATTTCAGGAAGCTCTGATGAAAACTAATTGGGAGGAGAAAGTATGTTAAACATTACAGAATATGTTAGCAACATACAAAACTATTCTAAACCCAAATCTGGTAAATTGTCAGCACAACTGATACATGGATGTCAACAGGGAACATTGTTATCCCTGCTGTTACCACCTAAACAGGATGAGAATCAATCAAATACAATGTTATCAAAGTTTGATATTAGAGATAAAGTCTATGTAAAAAATTTTGGGAAATGTGCAAAATGGATATATCAAAATCAAATTAGAACATGCAACTTCTTAATGAAAATGAGGCATCAAGAAGTGACATTAGAGTCAGATTTTGACTTTGTTCAACTTCAGACCCTCAGGCTGCTCAAACAACAAAGAATAAGCACAGGATCCTGCACTCTGTAAGCACCCACTGGATCCAAGTCAGATGCCAAGTGCATCTAGACGGTCACAGAAGACTAAAACATCAGTGGTTAACCATCCACTTATTAACTGGGTAGGTGTAAAGGGATCAATCAAAAAGTGAGTGGTGGCAACACTAAAAATTCTCATGTTGGTGTGCACTTTTATTCATGTATCAGTGGAAAAAAGATGTAAGAATTAAACAGTAAACATTGTGAGAATAAAGCTCTTTGTTTTGGGTGGCCAGTCTCTTCCATCATTTGTTTCTGTTTTAAAAAGGAGACATAACCTACTTGCAATGACAGAAAACAACAGAATATAAACAAATTCTAGCATTTGTAATAGATAGAGTCAATCAAAAAGTATGTTCTCATGTGTCAACTAGTTTTTGTTTAATGTAAAAGATTTCTGTTATAATTCTTTCTTGGCCTCTTATCTAGCATTTTATAATCTTTAACAGAAACAACTCATCATATCATTTAGCATCTTGGTCAAACAAACTAACGGGTTGTGAACAGTGGTGTGCGGTGACATTTGATGATAGGGAAGATATGTTGGCCCTGTATAGAATCATTGGAAGCATTATACAATATTTCGGTGCATGAGCTAAACTGCATGAGGTTGGTTCTCTGTAAAGTTCATGCGCTAATGCGTATAATCTGGCTGCTTTACACAATTCAAATATTTTTGCCTTGGAAGCTGTCCTGTATTATTCGACAACACAGCAGTTCCATTGGGAAAATGCATATACAAATTTATACCATATTCAAATATACAATAGCAATCTTATCATTTTTTTCACATGTATTATAGAAATTTGTAATAAGATATATAATGCAGTTATAATAAAATATTAATTTTAAGAAATTCAAAGTACATTAAAATATGAAAATAATTGCACAATATGTATTTATATTTTAGAAAATATAAGGGAAGTGGTGCTTCCACAGCTTCCATGGATGGCATGCCACTACTTTTGAATAATATTTGCTAATGGCTAAACAAAGTGTTCTTTGAGAAACTATTAATATATAAACTGAAAGTGATGACAAAATATGAATGAACCAGTATTTGGTAAGTTACACTAAAGCACACCTTCTAACAATCAAATGAGTAAAATTAACAAAAATGGAATTTAAAATATAAAACACATTTCAAATTAAAAACACTAAACCTATAAACAAACAAATTTTTATAACAATTGCAAATGTTTTTGCCCATGTCGTTATAGAAATTTGCTGGTTTATAGGTTGTGTTTTTAATTCTAATTTAACCATTTTTAAGTGGTGATTTTCTTCTAAAACACATTTCATTTTTGTAAAAAAGTTACATATATATAATATAATATAATACCAAAAGACTTACTACTACACCTTATCTTGCAGCCGAAGTTTATTACTTCAAACATTTTCGGTCATGTTAAATGACCTTTCTCAAACGTTTGAACAACCGAAAATGTTTGAAGTAATAAACTTCGGCTGCAAGATAAGGTGTAAGTCTTTTGGTATTAATAGTATGCAGTCTCAAACGAATATAATATAATAATTTGTCTAATAAAACTTACATAATAATTTTTCTTTAAAGGAAGCCACATAACAAATTATCTTTTTATTTAGGGAAATTCATTTCATAGATTGAAGAGGGCAAAAAACATCCAAAATGCATTCCATAAATAAAAAGAGTTAATTTAAGTTATGTGGCTTCCTAAAAGAAAAACTATTATATAAGTTTTATTAAACAATAATACAAAACAAGAAGTGAGTATGGAGAGGAAAATTATGAAACTTGGATTAAAATATAGTCATAAGATTTAAGTTCTGAAAATATATATCTGAAATATCAATTAGTATTAATAAATTATTTCTATTGTTTCTATTTATATTTACTGTCATTCATGCATAATTCTTTTCTTTGTATACATGTACTCCTATATCAATTATATACTGTTATTTTTATAAATAAGTGATATACAAGCATATTTGTTCAATTATTGTTAGCATTTATAGCATCATATTTGTACAACAACAAAATATCAAATTTCAAAGATTATAAATATATCCAGAGTATTTAATTTCATAATCAACTTCTGTTTTGTGTATCATTATAATTCTTAACTTTTAACTATTTAAAATGAAGATTTTGTAACAAAATGGAAATAAACAACATTATTCTAAGTTAATTTTGAGAGGTTTTGTCCTTATTGGAATTTCATATCTTTTTTTCTTACTTTGTTAGATTACATTTATGTGAATCATTTTACCTAAATCTAAATGTGTATTTATTATAATAACAAACTTTTTCATATTTTTATTATAAACTTTATTATAATAATAAATATAATTTTAAATAAGGAAATATATAAAAATCTTTCATTTATTTTCATTGTTGAAAACAGTAAAATATTTTAATTTTCAACTTTTCAACAGTTACTACACTGTACTTAGTAATTATGATAATTTAATTCAGCATTTAATTCTTGGAATTGATTTTTAGTGCAATTAAAAAAAAATTTTATTCATCCAAATTATCTCCTTGCAACATAATCAGTATTTGTAGTAATTCTTATGTTATCTTTGGATTTTTTCCCAGAAAATGACTCATTAAAAGGTTGTTATTTCAATAGAATATAAGTCACTGTTTGTAGATTACATAAACCTTTTCCAATTCACTTTCAATTGTTTCCAATTTCAAATTACATTTTAAAATCCACAAACAAAATTTTCACTTAAGTAGGCTTTCCACAAGTAGGCTTTCTGTCCAAAGATGAGAAAGATAAAACTGAAGATATATTGTATTAATACAATCAATTAGTTAATCAATTTAATACAATACATCTTCAGATTTGATATTTTTCATACAATAGATTTATTGTAAGAAGAATATTAGTATAAACTCCAATAATGTTGTTATTGAACTAAATTTATAATGTAATAAACTACTGTATAACCATGGTTTATTATATTACTAAATAAATAAATATATATATAATTTAAGAAATGTCAACAAATTCTAAAAATTTATTAAGTAATGAGAAGACTTAATTGTTTTGTAGAAAAATTATAGGTTAATTCATTCAATGAAAATAAAAAATTGCAGAAAAACAAGCGTATAGGCCTGTTTTATGTAGTTCGAATAATGCACGTGTGGAATTGATTATTATAGAATTTGCTATTACGTAATTTGTTATTGACACATTTCTTTTCATAACGACGGTAACTTACCTATAAATTATATCTTTCTTAATATTATATACATATCAAATATTTTATTACTTTGTTCGATCGTATTTATTATATAGGATGTAACTATACAACCTATAAAATAGATATGATCAAATAAATTGTAGGATTCATATTTCTTTCCAGAGAATTATTTACAACTTATACATAATTTAAATCTAGAAATTAACACATATTACAGTATTGCTACATACACGTTGTAACGATTCCTCGATAGAGGGCTTTACTTTACAGGAGTTCCTATTATATATAAAAATGGCAATTCNGATTTTTTTTCCTTTTTTTTTTTTTTTTTGAACAAATAACATACATAGAATGTTTATTTATTAACAAAAACATAGTTTTAAAAAGTTTATTTTTTATTAGTACTACTAATAATAATATTTTATAGGGATAGAAACTACTAGGGACCGTAAATTTTATCTGGAACCGGAGAAAAATCTCCGTCTTCCTTCACCTCAAGAAAATTAAATGTTATACTATGTCCTCGTTTTTGATACTAAAAAAGATATTTTTAATTTAAATATATTAATTACAAGATAACGTTTCATTCATTCATCATGTTAATCATTATAAGTAGTAAAAATCATGCGATATAAAAAAATTATATATTTTTTTTGTTTAATAAGATGTTGTTTAGTAGAAACGGAATTCAAAATTATATGTAAAGCAATATAATTTACTCGAATGAAGTTAAAAGTTAACGGTAATAACTGTATTTAGGTTTTATCGTGGGCGAAATGAGGGTAAATTTATTTATTTTATATATTACATAAAAGTCACGATATTTGGTTAAGATAAAACAAAATATTAAGAAATAATATAAGAATTAAAATAGAGAAATATTTTTTGTATATATATAAAATACGAATATTTTAAAAATATTTTTAAGCATCGAATGATTTTGAAATACAATCCCCGAATAATACAAATTCTATTTACGAATTTAGATTATGTAAATATAGTGATTTTATATAACAAAGATTTATGTTAAAAAAATTTCATTTATAGATATTATTTAATAGCAGAAATTCAAATGGAAGTTTTCTGGATCACTAACATTTGAACATTACTATTTTTTTTTTTTTTTTTTTAAGAAATTTTCGAGAAAGTTATGGTTCTAAATTTCATATTGTTTTTATGATTATTTAATGAAAGAAATTTGTTAATGTTCTGTAAAGTAAGATATATTCACCCAATGAAAATTTATCTCATTCTGTATGACTTTCGCGTACTATACTTAAAATTTCTTTTAAATACAAACTTTTTAATTGCTTTCTTTATTTTTTTCTTGTGTTTATTTTAAATTTTCGGGAGTTAAAATAATTGAAGATTTGATTTATTTAAGAATTTGTTGGATACAACAAAATTCCATATCAAATCGCATTTCTTTATTCTTCTGGATTCGAAAGATTGTGTGAGCGTTTTGCAACATCTTCGGAATCCAGAAGAAACTGTTGTTAAAGAAACCGTAAACGCAAAACTCTTCTACCATTGTGAAATAGACAACCGAATGTCCTAGGCGATTAATTTATCAGACCGCAAGTTTGTTTATCTTAAAAATAGACAATAAGATTTAATCCGCAATTACGAGTACTCAATATACGAGCTGTTTTATTTTATCCACTTCCCGATTGTTAGAGACGAAATATTCGATACAATGAGCGGCGACTGGTATAAGAGCAAAATATTCAAATCAGGAAGGAAACGAGATTGAAATTCCCGAGATTTGTAGATTGGTCTCCATTTTCTTTGTTTCATTTACACTTTTTTTTTTTTAACTCTTTTCGCCTTGTGGACACTAAGAGGGCCTCTTTTTGCAAGCCCATTATGGGTTCGGCCAGGCCCACAATGGGGCTGCCGGGTGGTGAGGGACAGAGCTCGACATATCCGAACGAACCACCCCGAAAGATTCCTGGGGATTTTTCGAACCGTTCGGATTCGAGCCCGGGTCCCCCAGAGCGGTAGGCTGCCACCTTGACCGCTCGGCCATCCGGCCGCGTGTTTCATTTACACTGTGTATTTATTTGTTCATTGGCATTCACTTTAACCAAGTGTATAATTTAGTAAACTTTATCTTTAATTTACCGATTCTTCTATTGCCGATTATAATTTCATTAATTAAAAAGCAATGTTATTTTACTCTACAGTCCATTCTAGATAAGTTGACACCTTATTTGAACGAACCTATGACTAGCTTTGCTACTGTATTAGATTGCCACTAATACAATATAATGGGTTCATTATAATCAGCAGTTTATCAAAACTAAAAATATAATTTTACATGATATTGAAGTAACTTTTATATTTTTAAAGGAACTTAATTAATTAACAAATTATTTATAATTATTACACTTACACTTTTTTAATATAATTTTTAATTCGCAAGAAAGACAGAATATACGTAATTTAGAAGTAAAGAATGTACAGTACATGCGCGAATTGATTTTATAAAGTGTATACATATGTTTATTTTGTATTTTCATGTAATTATTAATTATTAATAATTTCTAGTCATTACTTAATGAATTTATGTAAATTACATGTCTCCTATAAAGCCCTTTTCCTATGGAATTGGCTCCCACTAAATTAGCTTTAAAATACAGTAATACCCCGACTTACGCGGTTACCGCTCGGTCCCACCTATCGCGTAAGTTCGGGGTATTACTGTACATGACTGGGCGTGTTCATTAATAGCGGTCGCTCTGCGTCTCTGCTATTACGTGAGTGCGCTGCTGTTTGTAGGCATTTACAAGGTCTATAAACTTAGAGTACGTTCATAAAGTCGAACGAGTTAAACGAGAATGACGTCGTCGTTATTCATATTTCGTTAGACTTTTCGACCGATTCGTTTATAACTAAATGGCTGTTTCTAAAATCGAAGATATGAATGTTGCTAGTGCAGCCTTATCCGAAATATTTTTTTTAGATTGCTTCGGGTGGACAGTTATTTCAATCATTTCACCTTTTAATTCACAGTGTAAACACTCGAGTAGATTTAAAAACATCGATATTGTCGGGCGCCATTTCCTTCGTGAACTTCGTTAGTTTCATTCGAATCGTCATCACCGCAGAGCATTCCCACTGAGCGAGATCACTACTTTTTCATCGATTTGTTATTAACGCGTTTAACTCGTTTGACTTTACGAACAACAAATAAACTTTCTCACGAACTTTACATGTAAAGTTGTGAGAACGGTCTTCTTTTCTCATCATCTAATTTCAATTTATAAAAATGTGTAATTCTGAGCTCCTGTTTGCAGTTTGTGTAATGTAAAAGTGCATGTGAATATAGAAAACTAAATATATTCTTATTTTAACAAATCTCTCCAATTTTTTCTTTTCTTTTGCATTTCAAAACTAAATAAATTTATCCTCGTACTTTATTATACGAACCATTGACATTTGAAACCTTTTAGTTAGACCTTTAATTACATATACCTTTGGCTATTGAATTTTTACAATTCGGTGTTGAACACCAAACAATTTAAATATATATATATAAGAAATCCAACTAATTGAGATCGAAAGAAACAAACAATTTCTCTCTAGAAACACCGTACACATCAAAATAGCCCTAACATGGCGACTGCCGCGATGCATCACGATATCGTTTCTTGACCTTTGTGCATTTAAGAACGACGGTTAAAGAAAGATGGCGGCGCTCGTGTCACTGGTAGTATCGTGATGGAGGGATCTACGATTTTAAATTATGTGTTTTTAGACACAAAAGAAGGATCCCAATTGTAAAATTTAACCATAAAATGGATTATCTTGTCGACAGAGCATTCAAAGTAGCCACGAAAAAAATTAAAACGTCGGCTACCATGCAAAAAAAATTTCAGAAGACACATCATTGCGTGCGCTAACTAGTGCTTTCACAACTTCTAAATTTTAATTCATAAAATCACATAATGAACCCCAAAACGAAGAGTCGTGGAGGACGCCATGTTGTTTTCGCCACGTAAACTACTACTACAAGCGACCGTTTTTGCCGTCTGCAGGAATTTTTAAACGGATGTCACTCGCGCATAGTTACGTGGGGAATAAAAAAAAAAAAAATGTATCCTAGTTGCGTTTGGAGAGTACTCTTCTTCTCGTCAGTTGCTTATTTTTTTTTAAAAAAAAAAAAAGTCTCTGTGAACAATGTGGAAATCACAGAGTAATCTGACTGGACAGAGTTGGCTGGTTATTGGATGAATTCAATTTTTTTTTTTTTTTTTTTTTTTTTTTTTTTTTTTTTTTTTTTTTTTTTTTTTTTTTTTTTTTTTTTTTTTTTTTTTTTTTTTTTTTTTTTTTTTTTTTTTNGGTTATTGGATGAATTCTTTTTTTTTTTTTTTTTTTTGGCTTTTTCGGTACCTAAGAACTAACGTCACGACACAAACTAACTCCACCAAATCCATTTGAAACTAGAAAAATATCAAAACAGTTACGACATGATGATAGTTAGTTTAGACTGTTTAGTTCGTCAATGCTCGCAGATCCTACTTTCACTGACGAAATTGTTGTTGAACAGTTTAGTTCATAGAGCGTCTTGCCCTAATAGTTGATCTATTGGTCAGTTATAACCATAAATTAGTTTTAAATATATGCCTACCAATGCTAGGTTTTTAAGCAAATTAACTTTGAACTTAATTTTTCAGTTTTAGTGGTCCATTTATGATTTCACATTGTTTTACTGCAATACGTAAAAATTACAGTTGAATTTAATAATACTTTACGTAATGACCAAACAACTTAATTCTTTGCTAAAACGGCTTGATACTGTATTTGACAATGCATTATAATAGCAAGGGCGAATCCAATGGGACTACAGGAGCTTAAGCTCTCCAATTGACACAAAAGAACTTAAAATTTATTGTTCGAATTTAAAAACATTATTTTAAAATAGTCTACACTTATCACGGCAAGCCTGATTTATCGGACCATCCTCAATGCAATCGTTGTGCACATGTTAATAAAAGGTCCTTATTATTCAAATATTTAAAATTTTTGAGTTAGCCCCAGTTTGGGTTCTTCTTGATCCGCTATTGTAAAACGGTAAACTTTACAAAATAACAAAATACCTGTAAGTAATAAAATTTGTCGAAGGTAAACACATTAGTTAATTGACACAAAATTTCAATGATTGCTTGTTGGGTCCCAGTGACTTTGGTACGTGTACCTTATTTGCAGGTATCAGG